GACAATCCCCTGCAAGAAACATTTTGAATGTTTTTTATGCATAGTTATTTTTGATTATTCAGTGAGTGATATGTATAGATCAAAGCCTATCGTTATAGGTGATTGATGTAACTGCTACTATTGAGCTATTGTGCTCAAGACGCTTCTCGGGTAAGTTTTTGCAAATCATGCCGAAATTTAACTGATCGCATAAAATGACTAATCTGTAGCATTAATAAGACTACTACAGAGGTCAAAAGGGCTACAAAAAAAATCAAAAATTGGATGTCCTCGATTTGTTCGAGATCATCTTCTTCTTCTAACGCAGCTCTCTTCTTATCCTAAAGCGTCTAAAGTAGTCAAACTTTCAAATAGCCTCAGACTACCTTCTGAGAGCTTCATTCTCTTTTCTCGCTACCATAGGAATAAGATCTAATGTCACGCCTGCAAAATGTTATCTCTTTAGAGAATAAAAGCCAAAAAAAGTTACTTACAAGGCCATCTTGAGAGCTGCAAACATGTCCGGACGTAATTCAATTCTTTGTGTGTAAGCTTCTCCAGCTTTTGTGCGCGCTCCTGGTTCGTCTGTCGGAGGCTCATGAAAAATCTGTGAAAAGAAACTTTTTATTGGACTTTGATGGTATTGCTGATGTCCTCACCACGACTGTGAAGGGTTCACAACCGCTCCAATCTTCAGTTCATTGTGGCCTAGCCCACTCAAATCTTCCGAAAAATCTTAACAAAAGACGTGACGTTGTGATGACAAGAAATCTCGTTCTGACCAAGCAAAAGTTTTCGACATCCTCTGGTAAACGACGCAGATAAGGCTTCCCTTGTCTATAGTTCAATCTGACCGCATAATTTTGTATAGCATAAGGTGGATCGGTAAGCTCAAAAGACTACTGTCGTCTAAATGAAGCGATGAAAAGTGCACCAACCTCCAAGATATATCGAAATAGCGAATTGTTGAAAGGCAGTTTCCCTCTTTTGAACTTAAAATGCAATAAGATACTTGGAAGATCTACCTGTAAAGACGTTATTTCCGCCACATAGCCAAGAATTTAGAAATCAACTCACAATCTTGAAAGGAGGGCTGCCTTGGAGCTTCCACTCTCTCGTGAGGTTCTTCAGTGAGAGTAACGGGACTTCCACCTTTACTGCCGTATTTTCCTTGTCTTCAACAATTCTCGAAATCTTTTCGGTCTTGGCAAGTTGTATTTGACACTAAATCAAGCGTCAAAATGTTCGTATTTTTGTTTTGTAATATCAACCATCAGCATAATCGCAGTAGAGTTAAGCTGCATCTCTAAAAATGGATCATCGAGATTGCTTAGTCCCCTGATTTTATACTTATGGACGCGAGCAGTCGTTTCGGAATGAACAAGTTCCTGTGATACGATAGATTTCTATTTTCGTCCAAAGTACCTCTCACTTTGTAGACCTCTTCATTCAGAGATCTATCGTGACGTGCTTCAACTATTATTCTAGCCGCTGCCTTGACGTCTAAAACTCCGTTGCAGATAGTGTCAAAGAGGGTATGTGCATCCTCATCACCATCGCGACTGTCATTACTTTGGCTACACTGCTGTTGCGAAGATGCCTGATCTGATGAGCTATACTGGAACGAAGACGGCTGACGACTGCTGATTGGGGTTTGCTCTTTCGAGCTACAATCGGGGACTCGACGAAATTTCGTAAACGGAGGATGATCAATTCCGCATGCTCTTTCACGCTGACTGCCACGTTCATGCTGTATTATGCTAAGGTGGCGATCCAGTGGTTGACGATATGTGAGATGTTGGTGGGGAGGTTCCTCTAAACTTGCGTGACGGACTTCCGATCTGCGTTCCGCTTCGCACGAACATGCACTCCAGTCCTCACCATCCGGATACTGTGTGCCCGTCGTGCGTACCACATCTAAACTGTCTAAATAATCAGCTAGTACAAATGCCTGGAAAAGATGAACGATACTTGGTATGCCAGAAACGCTGCCCTCATTGACTGTATTCCCACAAAGTGAAGTGAAAGGTCACGCTCAGGGTCTATTTCTCTGAAAAACTGGTTTAGCTCTCAAAAATATGAGATGGTTATCCAACTTACTCTAAAGGCTGCATATTGTGAAACACCTTCTTAAATTTTCGGTCACGCGCCCTAAGATGCCGTGAACGCTTCATACTTCATCTTTCTTGTTAAACCGCTGGACTGCAAGATCGACTAAGCTAAAGGCGCAATACTTGCAGCAACAAAAAAATAGATAGACTCTGAAAGAATTATTCATTAGGTTTGAAACAAAATTTTTTAAAGCCAAGTTTGTAGGTGATCGATAATCGACATATCCAACGGGATCATTCTAATGTTCATATTTATTCACTCTAGCAAGCATTCAAAGTGCACGATTGTAAAAAATTAATAACACAGATCCGAATGCCTCGATATCATTTGATCCAGTACTTCCCTTTGAAAAAAACCAGATCCTGCCTGCTGTTCAAGTTATTCCTCCAATATGTGCGAGAGCTGTAAGTCTTTCCATTTACAACGAGTCTGGAGCTG